GATAGATAGATAGATAGATAGATAGATAGATGTTTCTTTTTTATTTCGTTTATTTAGAGTTTTTATAGGCATAATATTTAGCAAGAATATATGTTTTTCTTCTGCACACTTTGGCCTAGAATAAAATGTCATTCATTTCTGTGCTGTATGGCTTTGACCTGCTGACATTAAATCTAAGTCTGTAGAGCCTTTGAATGAGCATATGGAAAGAGGCCCCTGATGCAGAGGGCAATGGGAAGTGACTAATGTTTTTCTGTGTGTGTGCCAGCGCTGGGACCAGCTTTTGCGTGAGCAGAGCCGAGCAAACTCAGGCAGGAGCAACAAGAGACGGAGCCGCAACTAACTGTCCTTAGAAAAACCACACGGACAAGCCAAAGAGGAGAGGGGGTTCAAAAACTGAAAAATTGCACTATTGTACTTTTGTTTGTTTGTTTTTCATTTTTGGCTGAGACTGTTTTTTTTTTGTTGTTGCTTTATGTTTTATTGTTGTTATATTCTCATAAGCAAAATGTTGCCTTTGCACAAACAAAATGTTGGTTTGACATTGCTGTGTATACTTGTTGGGAAAGCGTGGCGAGTGTCGGGCAGCATTTGCCCATCAAAGAGAGAAGGAATGAACGGGAGGGAGGAGTATTTTTCTAGCGGCGTTGAGGTGGAGAGCCACGGAGATGCCAGTGTGCTTTGACATGACGCAGCGCTCCATTGAGCTCTCTGCGTACAAAAGCAACAAACGCTCTCATCACAAACTGCAGCTGCGCTGAATTTCCCCCTCAGGAGGTTTAAACGTTCTTCTGAAGAACAATGAACAGTGCGGGGGGAGAGAGAGAATCCTTTGGCAGAAGCACAGAGACGTCGAGATGATCCAAGACTAGGAGTGTAACATTATCGCGGACGACGAAAACAAGCTGTTGGGCTTTCTGAATGATGTTCATTTAAAAAAGAAAAAAAGCTTTTTACATGATAATTTCTGTAGTTCTGTTCTCTCGTAGATATGCTTGATCTTAAGTGTCATTCCTAGGAAGAAGTTGCATTTGCAAGTGTCATGCAATTAAAATGGCTATTATTGTACAAACTGTACATAATGATTCAGAATCCACCGTGAATCCATAATCAGTCTATAACTCGGTTTACATCTAGCTGAAGACATGACCATTAATATATGTATTGTTAATGACATCAATAGACATTTTGTCTTCCAAGACAAACAAGAATATTTCTTCACTGTACTTTCGGTTCAAGTAAAGATGTTTAATCTTAACTCGGTGTGACGTATTTATTTTTATTTACACCTACTTAAAAGCAGGATACATTTACTTGAGAAGCAAAATGATTTAAGATATTAAAATGTACTCACCTTCAGGCCATTCGAAATGTGGATGAGTTTGTTTCTTAATCAGACCAGATTTGGAGAAATGTAGCCTCTCATCACTTGCTCACCAAAGGATCCTCTGCAGTGAATGGG